GGGCGGAGGAGGGAAGGCGAGGAGCTGCCTGCACCTGGGAGGGAGGATGGACGGAGGAGGGAAGGAGAGGAGCTGCCTGCACCTGGGAGGGAGGACAGAGGAGAGAAGACGGACGGAGGAAGGAAGGTGAGGAGCTGCCTGCACCTGGGAGGGCGGACGGAGGAGGGAAAGTGAGGAGCTGCCTGCACCTGGGAGGATGGACAGAGGAGGGAAGGCGAGGAGCTGCCTGCACCTGGGAGGCCGGTGTGCACTGTGGCTCTGCTCTGGAGTGGCTGGCCCCTGCGCCACTCTCGTGCACACATGGCTCTTGCGGGAATGCTGAAAGCTGTTTCTCCCATCACCCACAAGCTCACCTCTCTCGTGTTGCTTCGCTGAGATGGGCTTCTCCTCATCTTCTGGCGCCCTCAGCTCCGGCTCCTTCCCCTCAGCTGGGCGCTGCAGATGCGGCTCTTTGTCGGCCTCCGACGGGCTGTCGGCCCAGTGCTGATCTGGCAGAGGGCAGGGCAGAAGCAGGGGCACACCCTAAGCAAGGCTGGCTTCTTTTCCCCCCGAGGGCTGGCCCACTACTTGCTCATTTGCAATACAACTGCTCAGGTGCAGGCCAGGTGACCCTTGTGATGCAGGGATCTGCCTGCTGGACCACCCCACTGGACCACCCCCTCCCAAGGGGTCCGGCCAAGAGCACCCTCCTGCCTTTGGAATGCGGGGCTGCATCAAAGCCTGTGGGGCTCTGTTTCTTTTTAAACACAGCAATAGTGACCCATGACGGACCGTGACAGAGAGACGGGGCCTGCGGAGGGCATGCCTGGCCCCATGGCCCTTCTATCCACCTCCTCCTCTCAGCAGCCCGGCTGCCACCCACGTCCACAGCTGGGGCCTGCACCACTCACAGGCTCGGACGCTTCTCACTCCTCTCAGCTTCGCCCCTGAGCCCCTCAGCCCCCCACAACCAGACTGCGATACAGAACACACCTCTGGGTATCTGGCTTTGGGAGCCAGTCTGCTGGATTAAAGGGCTTGTATGAAGCCACAGTGTGGCTCAGGCGCCCAGCTCAGCTGGACGAGTCGCCTGGTGCTTGTGGGTGGGTGGTGGTTGGGTGGAATGAGATGCATTCCAGTCATGGCAGAGCCACGAGGGAACCAGGAGGCCCAATGGCGGCCTCACTGAGCTTGATTTTGCTGGAAAGCGTATTTCCTTCATCTTCCCTGAGCTCCCACCCCGGGGGTGGGGAAGGCGGACCCCTACCATCATCCAGCTCAGCACCAGTGTCCCCTGGGTCCCCATCCTCTGCTGTCTCGCCTTCTATCTCGGCTGGTTCCGAGTCCACATCGTCCTCTAGGTAATTCTCATCCAACGGGGCTACAAAGCAGAAAGGTTCAAAGGAAGGAAGGAAAGGCAGACAGACAGGCTGCATCTTCCTTTCTCAGGACCGTGCCATGCAGGCCCCGGGACAGGGGAGATGGTGCCAGGCCCAGGGAGCTCTCCGCACACAGCGTGGGCACTGGGGGGGGCCTGGGGCCCCCAAACATGGGAGGTTGGCATTTCTCAATGCTAGGGGCCAAGTGGGAAGAGAAGAGTGGCTGAAGGTGGGGACCGTCCATCTTCCCCTAAAGGCCACTCTAGGAGCCTCAGCTGAGGAGGGTGGAAGGGGAAATGTTGCTTCTCTGGGCCTGAGCCCAGCAGCACGTGCCAAAGCCTGGCCATGTCAGGCACCGTGCCGTCCGCCTCACCCCCCGAATCTGAAAATCCAAAATCCAAAATGCTCCAAAATCTGAAATTTTCTGAGTGCTGACAAGAGGCCAAGCAGAAAATTCCACAGCAGACCTCATATGGTGACAGTCACAGCCAAAGCTTTTGTTTCATGCACAAAATTATTAAACATATTGCATAAAATTATCCTCCAGCTACATGTATGAGGTGTACACGACACATAAATAAGTTTCCTGTTTAGACTTGGGTCCCGTCCCCAAGATCTCTCATTATGAGAGAGCTGAAAAAAATTTGAAATCCAAAACACTTCTGGTCTCAAATATTTCGGATAAGAAACACCCAGCCTGCCATATAATTAGAGGGACTGTTTCCAATTCCTCTCTTTCAGTGAGAAGGCTGAGGTCCAGACAGCGGAGGAGGCTGTTCACAGTGCCGTGTGCAGGGGCACCAGATGAGCTTCCCTCGGGATAATTTAGAGGAATATTAATACTTCGTGAGAGCATGGGGGGCTGAGGGTATGTAAAGTTCATCCTCTGGACCCCAAGTGGCCCTTCAGGGCTGCAATACGGGGCAAAGCCCCTGACAACTTGCCTTCCCCGGGAGCCAGCCCCCAGGCACGCACACACCCTGCCCCACCTCCCACACTCAGAAATTGCAGCAGCAGGAAGAGCACGCTCCACTCTGCGGACACTGTGAGACCCGCGCCACCTGACACCCACGGGACCACTGCCAGGGTCTGAGGGCTCTCCTAGGGTTCAAGCCCAGCCACCCTCAAATTACCCCTAACGGTTTTAACTTCAGGAGAAAGGAGTTATGCTCTGAGGCCCACATACAAGAGCCTGCGTATCAAAGCCCCAGGCTGGAGCAGGGAGCTGGTGGCGCCTGGTTAGGCGGATTTCTTCAAAAACCGTGTGGAAGGACACAGCGTCTTCTCTCCACAGGCCAGGCACTTAGAAAATGCCAGAACGTTTTATTCCTTGACCGAGGTGGCAGTTACGTGTTTTTTTTTTTTTTTCTTTTTGAGACAGAGTCTTGCTCTGTTGTCCAGGCTGGAGTGCAATGGTGCGTTTTCAGCTCACTGCAACCTCCGCTTCCCAGGTTCAAGCAATTGTCGTGCCTTAGCCTCCCGCGTAGCTGGGATTACAGGCATGCACCACCATGCCTGGCTAATTTATTTTTTAGTAGAGACAGGGTTTTACCATGTTGGCCAGGATGGTCTTGATCTCTTGACCTCGTGATCCGCCCACCTCAGCCTCCCAAAGTGCTGGGATTACAGGCGTGAGCCACTGCGCCCGGCTGCAAGTTTTTGTTTCTTTAATAATTCCTTAGGCTGTATGTAAGATGCGGGTTCAAATCTAGTTTTTGAAGAACTGTATGAAACAGGTTTGGAAGGCAACAGACGGCCCACGTCACGGGGAGATGGGCGGGTTCCCGGACTAGCTGACGGGGCCAGGCGTCTCCCTGAGACACCAGAGTGGCCCACGGAGCTGGCCGTGCCCAATGCTACCCTACAGCAGCGCCACCTGCCGGGGAAGCAGTGCGGAAACGCCTCAAGTATTTCTATTGGTTAAAGCCTCGGTGTGAAAACACTGCTTTTGGCCACTCAAGGGAAGACACTTCATCCAACAGCAGGGAGTGGGACTTCTGAGGCACAGACAAAAGAATTCACGCTGCACTACAGCAATTCTGAGAAGGCTGGCGGGACAAAGGCCCCCCTGAGAACGGAATCTGGCCCATCCCATGGAGAGGGCCATCGTGCCCGACAGGCTTGTTGGGGTGATTCTGGGTGCCCAGGCATCAAGATGGCAACTCTACACTCCCGCTGGTGAGTGAACTGGACACCAGCACCCAGGAGACCCACACAGGCCTCCCAGCCGGGCACCATCCAAGGCACCCTGGGTTAGCCCGATCCCATCCTGGTGCCTTGGTCCTTCATGTGGCTCTCCTATAGACTTTCCACTAAGACACGCCTGTGGTAGAGTCGGGGGTCAGAAGTCTACACTCTTGGCAGTACCTTGAAAGGAACAATCGTCACAAAGATTAAAAAAACAAACAGGTGAGAAATAACGCAGCAGCGGTGTTGAAAGAGACGCAGCTCGAAGGGTGGATCTGGGGGTGAAATTCAGGTTAAGATGGAGTGCAGGGTGCTGAAAGCTGCCACGCAGGTTGATGAGCCACATACTAGGAAAGCCAGGAGCCACTGACCCACTCAGCTCTTGGTTCCCTTCAGCTGCCAGCTGGGAGGCTCCTGCCCTCCACCCTAGGGACCTACGCTGTCTAGAAGAGGGCAAGGAGCACACAGAGCAGTGGTCCTTCCCTGCGGCCGTGTGCGTGTGCGTTTCTCCCACTGCCGGGAGGACACAGGGACCGGCTGGGGAAGCCCCACGAGCTCCCGTGTGTGACCCAGAAGTGACCGCTAGGACAGCGGTGCTGTTGGGGGCAACACTGTCCTTCCTCCAGCAGTGTCTGACAACTCAGGGGGGGATTCTGGGTGTCTTCATGGAGAGTGGAGGCCAAGAATGTCAAACCTTCTTCGAGGGGAAGAGTTGTCCTGCCCCAGATGTCGGCAGCCCCTCAGTGAGAAACACACTTCCAGAAAAATTTAGGGAGGACAACACAGGCTGCTCAACAATCTCTTGTGCTTGAAGAGACGCCTGCAGCTCACGCTGGATGCGTCTGTTTTAAATTCAGTGCCCATGGTCACAGCCAGCCTGCCCTCACCTTCAGCTGACCAACACCCACCCCTCCTCTGCTCTTCCCTCTCAGTCACCCTCCCATAGCCCCTGGCTTTGACTGCCTCCCTCTCTGATACCTTGTAGGCATGTGAAGTATCTTCGGATTCCTCCCCTTTCACATTTAATCTACCCACCTCGATTTCAACACACTTTAAATCACAATGCCAAAAATGCTCTTTCAGCTTTGGCCTTTTTACCCAGCTGTCAGTAAAAACCTGCCTGTGTCCGTCCTGCCTGCCCTCCTGCTTCCCTTTGGGCTGCCCTGAAGGAGGGGTGTGCGTCTGATCCATGCAAGGGCGGGCTGTCTGCAAGGCATGCAGGTGCCCCCGCCCGCCTCCGCCGCCCTGGCATGCACTAGCGACAGGCCCAGGAGTCTAGTGTTAAGGTACCAGCAGAGCCGCCTAGAGAGAGGTTATGGTGAGTGGGGAGAGAATGAACATCACCAGACTACCTCCAGAGACCGTCTCCAGCCAGGCCTGCACCGCCGCGCGGCGTATGGAGGGAAGGTCGGGCACTGAATTTAAAACAGACGACAAATACAACGTTACACAGCAATAAGCGTTCCCCATGAGGAGAGCCAAGGTCATCCTTCAAATCCAAACAGAAGAGAAACTGAGGCAGCATTCAGAACAGAGGCCCGCCCGGCACAGAGGGGCGTGAGCGCTGCTGCTGGCCTGTGGTGGAGAATCGGGATGAGGAGGGAAGCGGGGAACCCAAGGCAGAGCTGGCCCAGGGCTGCAGGGTGCTCCCGAGCTTGCAGGTGTTCACAGCGCCGCCGCAACCTGAACACGGAGGTTGGTCTTGCCTATAGGTGAAGATTTGGAGCCGGGGAAGAACAATCGTCTGATTAAATGCTGTTTCATGATGGCAGGAAACGCCCCTTTTGTATGCCCAGAGCCTGGCAGGGTGTATGGCCCGTGACTGGTGCCGAATGAAAACGTGCACGCACAGGAGTAACAGCGGGGGTCAGGGACACCGAGGGTGGGCGTTTGGAAGACGGCATGCGGGGGAGGACGGCACAGCGGTCGCCATGTCCCTCTGGTCTGCACGGGTTTCCTCTTACTGCTATTCCTTTATTACAAAAGAAGCCAGCATAAGGTGCATCTTCATCCTACTGTGTGGCGCAGACCGTCTCACCCAAGCCTGGGGCTGGAGACCACCCTACTGTGGAGGCCTCCTGGAGAGACGTCGCTTTCCAAGACATCACTTCACTTCAAGACATGCTGCTCCCGCCCCCCTCCTGCCAACACACATTCATGTCCAGACACACCCTGTGAGGAAAGTACCAGAACGTTTTACAAAGTGGGGAAAGAGCAGCTGTGACCAGAAACATGGGAGAAAGACAGCAAAATTCTTGGTTTACCCAAGATCAGGTTCATCTGACCATTCTGCATCAATGGAGAAAGAATCCACAACCTCTTAATCCACAGAGAACTTTACATATCCTCAGATGAGAAGTATGGGGGTCACAAGTGACAGCAGCAAAGGGGGTGCGCCTTTGATCTGATGGGGCTCTGCCTGACAGAAAGGCCACCTGTGGTGACAGAGGTGGCAGGTGGGTGGTGCCTGGGGCACTGCGGCCAGGGGCTGGGCGTGGTTACCTCTGGAGGCAGAGGACTCGGAGGTGGGCGCCATCCTCTCTTCCTCCTCCCTCTCACGGATGTGAGTCCAGTGCACGTCGGCCTGGATCTCCAGAGGATCCGCCGCGCGCATGACCTGCTGGAGCCTCTGGTTCCCGGCTAGTGTCCCAGGGTCAAGGGGTGGAGAAGACAAGGTGGGGAAGGATGAAATAGTGTGGGAAAGGAAACAGAAAGAGAAGTTACAGCATTGGCCAAATCAGTATGAATCAGAAAGAAGTAAACATTAAGAGCACATACGCACATGTACACACACACACACACACACACACACACTCTCTCTCTCTCTCTCTCTCTCTCTCTCTCTCTCTCTCTCTCCTTCTGCTCATTCAGTGTGACCTGGTCATTTCCAGCCACATGTGTACCATTAAATTCAGTGAAGAGAATCACACGTTCTTTTCTAAGGCTGCTTTCATCCTAAGCTGCATTCAGGCGACCCATGTGCCAACACGGAAAAAGAGCGGATTCTAGCCTACTCCTGCAGGCCCAGCCCCCAGGGTCACAAGGACCCGCTCTGTCCCTGGCAGTGTGAGACTCCAGGGATGCACTATCCTGCCCCTCTGCTGGTCATGCAGCAAGGTGCCCACTACTGTCTGCCCAGCTGATGGCCAGGTGGCGAGAGACGTGGGGAGAAACTGTGTCATTCTGCCATGCCGGCAAGCTCACACAGGACAGAGACAGACTCTGCCGCACCTTGGTTTGCATCTTCTGCAGCTGAAGCTGCTGCTGGAGAGAAAAAGTCCCCCTCCCTTAGCAGGCCTCAAGCTGGGTCCGAGGCAAGGACACAGATCCCAGCGGAGGGTGGACCCAGGGGAGGTGACAGCTGGGAGGGAAGCAGAGCTATTTCCTGCACATTTCCAAACCACTGGAAGTTCGAGGGTGAGAGTGAGACCGACACCTCTCTGAGGTCAAAGCCCTTTCCTGAAAACTCCATGTGGTACCCTGCTTATCACCTTCCTTTGGAAACAAGACCTGGTTTCTCAGCTAAATGGAAACTCACCGGTGGCCACTCTGGATCCCTGCCCTGTGGGACCCCTGCACTGAGTGCTTGGACCATGCCACGTAGTTGGGTTAAGATAAAGGGGCAGCCCAGCAACTGGGAAGGGAGGGTGGCCATTCAGGCAGCAAGAGCAGACGCCGCCTGAGCTGAAGGGCTCGCATTCCTGCCCGGAGCCAGCTTCCATCTTGGAACGGGTGTCGTGCCTCCTCTCAGAGTCTAACTGGACAAGCTGGCCTTGGCTTCAGTCACTATGACAGCCTCTTCAAGCGACAGAGAATGTGAAATAGGCAGAAAGGACCAGAAGACCACCCAGTGCGATGCTGGCCCTGCGCTCTGTCGGACGTGGGATATTAGCCCCTTGCTGGAGTTGCTGGTCTCCAGAGATTTGTGGACTTTTTCTAAGGTCATTTTGCCTTTCTTTATGGTGCTGGGTGGGATGGAATCACAGTAAAGTCACCTAACAGCCTGGATGTTTGCAGGACGGAGGAAGGCAAGTCAAGGGGAACGGCAGGGCCTCTCTCTACCTTCTCAGCAACAAACAGAAGAGAGGCATTCTTCTCTGAGGCCTGCTGACACATGCAGCTTTGGGGACTTACTCACAGCACAAGCCAGCATTTCCTCCCTTCTCAGAGAAACGTTAAAGTCACCTGTGCTGGTGACAGGAGGTTTCTTGCATCAGAGAAGCAGCCAAGTGTTGGCTGGAGATGAGGAGCTCGCGGCAAACCACGTGGGGCACAGATGGGGCCTTATTCCATGCAGCCACTTCCGGAGCCTTCTCCGACTCCCCCCTGAGCCTCTCTTCTGACTCCCATGCTACTTTGCACCTGTCGGGCCGGCTGGGCCCAGGGAGCCCACTGAGATGTACGCAGAGCTCGCCAGCACAGTTCCATTTGTCTGTGAGACCTGCTCTTGGAGGCAAATTTTCGATGGCTGCCAGGGAGCCAGGGTAGAAGGTGGGCAGGGGACAAAGTGGGTACCTGTAAATATTCCCCAATCTTCTTCCTGTGGGAGGTGCCTGGCGCCACTGGCCTTGCAGGAGCTGTGTCCCGGGGCAGTACTCCCCTTCTACAGCAGGGGGAGCCAGACACCCACACAGCGTCCGGAATCCACAGGGGGATGGGTAGGGAGGGGAGGGAAGGGAAGACTGAGGTCCTGCCTCCGCCCACACAGACACGCACCTGGGCTAGGCACACAGGCTCTGCCTGGACTCCTGGGGTTTGGCTGAGTTTGTCAGTATGTGTTTGTGTAGTTAAAGCCCATTTCCTACAGGTTTGGTCTTGACGTTAGGTCTAAGTCCAGGAAATTAAGTCTGTGTGAAGGACAGCTGGGTCAACCCTCCTGAAAAGGGAATACGCTTCGACCCTGTGCTGTGCCGGGGCTCAAACCACCAAGTGATCGCCACCAGATGGAGACGACGCTGTCTGGAACAGTGCAAGCAAAACACCGTGTCCCGGACCCGGGTTCACAGACCCTGTTTCTCCTACGGCGGACTGCACGTGGAGTGCGGGCCACCAAGGGCCGGCCGTGGGTCCTGCCCAGCCTCTGCCTCTGGAGGGAAGAGCAGAGTACTGGGGGGCAGCTCCTTAGAGAGCCCGAGGAAGTCCCTGACCCTGACTGCTCAGTCGGACGCCCGAGGGTGCCCTTCCTTCTGGCCCAACCCACCTCACTAGCGCCAGCATCCCAGAGTAGCACAGCTCCCGGGGGACTGGCCCAGGAATGTGAACCTGACAGTGAAGGGCTCAGGCCTGTGTGCCAGAGAAAACAGACCCCAGGATGGGACTGGGCAGCAAGCACACACGCTCCAGGAGAAGCAGAGATGAGCGCAAGAGCCGAGGGCAGCCGGGGCCAGCGCTCCGGGGCCTGGGCCGCTGAGAACGCAACCTGCACCTCTGGCTCTGCAGGGAGTCACTGGTGCTCAGAAATTACAGGCCATGCTCTTCCTGCTCACTCCACACCCATCTTTCGGGGACGTCCTCACCACCTAGCAGACTTCTGCGCTGCCGGAGTGGGGAGAGAACGGCCTTCCTCCCGCACAGGCCCAGCAAGTCCTTCCTCTCACTCAGGGCCACACATAGCCAGAGACAGGGACAGGATTGAAAAATCTCAAGTCCAAGGCAAGAGACTATTTCAGAACCAGCTAGAGCGGCTGGCCCCGGAGCCTATGAGCCTCGCTTCAGGACACTGGCACCAAAACTGTGTGCTGCCCTGCGTGCCGTTAACTAAGCCCTGTCCAGCGGGCACTAAGCTCATAGCCATCTCCGAAACCCTAGACTAGGAGTCAGGGATCCTCTGGAAAGCTAAATTCCCTTTCTTTATTAAAATAAATTTATTCAACTGAAACTAAAGGGAAAAAAGAGAAAACGAGGAGGAGACAAGAATGAGTGACCCAACTTGGATGAAGTCCTTGGATTAGCTCTCCGCCTTCCACTTCCAGTCTCTCAAACCAATGTGCACAAGGGACACTCCACTGCCAATGGCCTGCTTGACGCCACGGTGTCCTCCCCTCTGCCCCCATGTCTAAGGTCAGGAAGGTGGTCCC